TATATATATATGTATATGTGCTTTTGGTTTTTTTCTTAAATTCATTTTAAATTGATGTTGAGGAGCCATAGGTGAGACTATGAGATAAATGCTTCATTGGGGTACACCAGAAAATAACCATTTCTGCATGTTCAAACAACTGTGTGAAGTTCATTAAAGACCAAATTGAAAATTTTACATACTAAGCAGATAGTTCTTTTCTGTTTACATCTTACACCTAATTTATAACACTTTGATGTTTTAAGCATACACAAAAAAAAATGTACGTCTTTTAAAAAGTGATAATAATATTTTTTTTTACGTGCGATTAAAAATTTTGAGTACTATATGTAATTATGAAAGGTTGGGTATAAGATATCTAAATACATAAAAATTGTGTGATAAATATGTAAATGCTCTCTTTTTTACCTCTCGGGCAGAGTCAGTGCACAAATTTAACGTACTCTTGAGATTCTTCATTTTATTTTCGATCAATATGCTATATACATTTGAGCACTCTACATCACAAGTTGAAATTTTTACATACTTATTTCATAAAAAAAAGAAAATTTTCTCTCATGGTGCAAGAAAAAGTAAAGAATATTTACATAAAAAGCATTATATAAGTAAAAAAGTTGACCAAACTCTGTTCAAATAATCTTCTCTAAACAATTGATGATTACCCCTAAAAAACAATATGTATTTTACCTACACTAAAACATTATATAATCTCATTGCCAAAAAGGCATGATTGAAGCTCTAACAAAATATCCACCAGAGCCAATTCTAATGGTTCAATTACAGAAAATGAGAGATGTTTGAATCATAGGAAGAGCCTCATTCAAACATAGGCTTCCCTACACTCCTTGAATATTGTATGAGGAAAAAACAATATAGTTTTGTTAGCTGTTGAAGAAAAGAATGGTGGCTCTGATGGCAATTGGAGTCTAGCTCATCATCCCTTTGGAAAGAAATTATTCAAAGAAGGATCAATTATTTATCTACATTCTTCTCAATCTCATCTTGAAGAGCTCTATAGGCCGCTCTCCAAGAATCGCTATCCGAACCGCTTCTAAAAATAATTTGCATCACCTCAAGTTCTTCTTGGTTCAGTCTATGAAACAATGGCCTGAGGACATGCTGGACCTTATCGTCCGAAATCATCGAATCAATGCGTTCTATGTTGGCAAAGTCAACACCAAAAATTTTTCTGTTTGTTTCGGCGTTCGGTTGTGAAGAGTGGGCGAGCGGTTTGATCATGGATTGCATGGTACATTTCATCAACTCGGCTTCGTTTTTCGTTGAAGAACTTGGTTTGGATGCCCAGTAATCCAAGCAACGATGATAAGGATCGAGGGATTCTATAAACTGAGTTTTAACTCGGTGTCAGAATTCAGTCATGTGATAGTAAAAAGCAAATTTTTCGAATGATTCTTTTCCTTCGCATTAAAAAACGTAACAATTCAGAAGTTTTGAGAAAGAATCAATGAATTGATACTTCTGTTGCATGAATTTAGCTAAATGGTTTCAGTATATAGGATCGAAGCATACCTGATTGATTGATGGGGACAGAAAACCAAACATTTGGAGCCCATCGATGCTCCCGGGAGGTTGCAGGGGAGGAAGGTCTTGATTTCTTAAATTACACTGCTTTATGATCTCTTGGTTTAGTCGCTCCCTAACCAAATCCCAGCATTGAGCAGCAGAAGAATGCATAAAAGTATCTTCTGGGTTATCTTCTAAGGTAACCTGAAGACCAGATTTGTCGCTAAGAAAGTAATACACAAAAGAAATACACACAAGAGAACAATTCTAAAAGGATTGTATTGCCTGCTATAATGAAAAACCTGACCATGCTCTGATGGATTTCTTGAACAAGATCAGAAAGAAATATTTGATACTTCTAAAATGCGGTAAAATAAGAAAGAATGAGAAAACATTATTGTGCATTAAATGAATCAGCAAGGTAACGCAAACATCTCCCAACAATCCAGTACATTGGAAGATGAAGATAACATGAATAAAAACTTGACTTGAACAAAATAGAGACTAAACGACACTCAACATTCAACAAAAATGAATAGAAAATAAGAATTCATTAATTCAAAAAAAAATATTGATTTAAGGCTAACAATAATGATAATGGCTTAGTTTACTCACGCTTTGTAAAAACCTACTCCATGGTCATTATTTAATAATTAAATAAAAGAATAAATAATATAGAATACAGAAAAAGGCATGCCGAGCTTTACTTTTCAAATATGTTATTGTGACTTGTGCCAAATTATCCTAACTTCTCCCTCTCATAATGAAGATTGAAGAAAAACCACAATGCATCAAAAGAAAAGGCGCAGGATTCAATATCGTGATTTTGTTGTGTCGGGGTCAAATGAAAGAACATAAAATTGGATAAATTTTACAACTAAGGATGACCATTGATGCACCATAAAATCTACCTTAAATAAAGGACCAATAAGTCCAACATCTAGTATTTCAGATATATAGTTGCAGGTTGTCGTTGGATCCAGCACGCTGAAGTACCTGACTCGACTTTGGAATCCTGAAGAGCCAATGCAACAAAACTATGTTTAATATACAAGAGTAATGTGCAATATACAATGGAATAAATATGAATTTAGGATTATACCTTTTGGGAAGATGGCTTCTGAGTTACACCAGTGTTTTCCAAACATGACATTTCCAAAATGAAGTGGCTCAACAAAGTAGTTGGGCCTCGTTAAATGCTTCTTCCTTTCAGGATTAGATGGGTTAAGCCCACAAGGAATGGGGGAGCAGTTTCCTAAAGGCCTGTTGCCTTCAAAATTTGAATTTACTGGAGGAGATGGTTGATGTGGCTGAAGCTCAATGCCAAATAACTTCGCTCTAGGCTGGCTACCTTCAGAAGGAGAGGCGTCATTCTTCCGTTTGTTTTTAAAAGAACAGGAAGGAGAAACATCAAAAAAATTGCCAAGGGAAACTGAATATCCATTCTCCGGGCATGACCTCAATGGTGTGTTGGATTTTGTTTTGGTGTCATGCTCCATCTCCTGTTTTACTGCAGTTGAAGTAAAATCTTGCTCCTTAATGCTTTTCATTGTCTCAACGCTTCTATGAGACCAACCATGAATTTTAGTCTTAGAATCTTTGGCCAAATCTTCCTTGTTGAGGTCCAAAAACCACTTTGGCTCCTCTTCCCACAAATGCTCATCAAAAAATATTTTATTTTCCTTGGAAGCAATCTTGTGGCAAACATATTCTGTATGTTGTGGAGCTATTAAGTCTGAATTAATACAGGAGGTGCCTTTTTCCGAATTGCCACTTTCGAGTTCAGTTTTTACAAGAGTTAAGCAAGATGTCTCCGCCTTCTGCAAATTTGAATTGTCTTCCGTACGCTGTGGGCATGCAGAATTATTGATCTCACAAGGAGAAACAGTAGCTCCACACGACTGCCCTCCACTCTTCAAACTAAATATGTTGATACCACCAACTTCGATATCTACCAATCCTATTGTTGAAGTGGATGCACTTTTCTGCATTGATACCTTTGAATCAGATTCACTCAACGGTTTTAAGCATTTTGAATCTTTCTTCTTCACTACAACATTAGATGGTGAAACCAATCCCAGATCATATGAGCCCCAATGTTGCACTGCACTTAAATGCCCTTCTAAAGCTTGAACTAAAGTGTTTAACTGATCCATACTGTAGCGAAAAAGGAAAAAATTTTGGTTGGTTTCACAAGAACAAAGAAGCTCTGCATGGTTTAAGCAGGCATAACGATCCAATGAGCATTCACAGCCCGCAGCAGAAAGGTGGAGATCATAGTAACAGAAGAAACATTCCCTTTCATTGGACAAATCAAAGACCCTATCCATTTTTCTTCCTTTTCTAGAATCACAATAAGAATCTCTTCGCTCCTTTTCCATCGCTACTCTTGCCTAAAAACATTACATGTAAATTTAAATGATTGAATAATGTGACGAAACAGATAATATTGCAAAATAGTTAAGCACATACCATTACAGCCTTAGTCAATAACCCATCCTTTCCGCAAACACTCTGCCATTTTAAGTTACAGGGTTTGTTCAATCCTAAGAGTAAAATATCAAATAGCGCCTTGACAGCCTCTCTTGCAGCAGCTATTAATAACTTGTCATGAGAGATGGATGTCTTGCGGCGCTGTTCGCTATAAAGCTCAACAGCAGACTGTCCATGAGACAGCCAGTCCATGGGAGCGACATTCACTGCTTCTGCACAGTTGAATCCACAATTGAAGCCAGAATGGTAAGCTCTAGGGAAGGTGAGGACGAACTCCCCAGCTTTCTGAATGGCACGATAAACCGGAACACCCTCAGAATTTAGAACTGAAGGAGACAATTGCGTAACCTGACAAATCATGGTGATATTGGATCAAACAAAGAAAGATATCGTTGTAAGGAACTGTTTAAAAATGGAAATTTTAATAGATTCTTAAGCTGATGTATAACAATTATGTAATGGTTACACTATAACTGCAAAGAGAATCTACTAATTGTGTTATAATTAGCTTTATTCTGACAATTTGGGTTTGTGAATCTTCTTTCTTCATTCATTTCTTCTTAATGTTGTACATGTTGACGCTAAGTTTGACAAATAATTTAAGAAAAGGTTTACCTAACTAAACCAAAGCTCCAAAATTGTCATACGAACAAACTTAACTGCTGAATCAAGTTATTTTACTGATAGTAAGCCAGGAGGGTCACGCCAGCAAAGTATTAAACAAGGCAGTATATTTTCATTTTCACCGTCTATTTTACCCTTTCTTACTTGGCAGAGAAACGTGTGTTCAGTTCTCAAAATAATGACTTCATAATTCAAACAATATTCATAATAAATTGAAGTTTAATTGACTTCACGACAAGCTTCAAGATAACTGAGTCCTATTATTTGATAACTGAGTCCTATTATTTGAAAGCATTTGGAAGACTTATGACCAAAAGATCAGTTTAGAAATAAAAAGCTGAAACATTTTCTAGTATTATGAGACAAGAAAACGTGCAGAAAGATATAAAGCAAAAAAGGATAAACAACAGTTAACCAGGATGGAAACGTAAATATAAGATCTGCAGTATCAATTTCAAATAAGGCAGACCTGTGCAATCTTCTGATAAGAACTTAAGCACATGTTATTTATACAGTTGTCATTTAAAAGAATTTTCAAAGAAAGAACGCATTTGCACTCTCACCAGTTCATGCAGCAAATCAGGTTGTTCCTCAAATAGTTCTGGTAAATGTTTCCTCATGGCCTCTTCCAATTTAACAGCAGCATTTCCAGGAACTCCATACCAAATTTTTGGATCACCCCAATGCATATAGTTCAGTGAGTACAGGTGGTGGTCTTCAACATGCTATCACCGCCAAAGATCAAACAGAATGTTGGTACAAAAAACAGTCAGAATGGCAAGGTTGACGATCTTGAGCAAATAACATGATATTTATATGAAATTAAAAAAGGACAAAAAGGAGGCTATCCTAATTAGAAGATCATATGGGTTTTGTGTCTCTCAAAAGCTAAGGGACTTTTGATTAAATTTTACATTTGCTTTTAGAATTAGTTTACAGATCACTACGGGATCATTTGGAAGTTGAAAAAACATTTGATAGATCTATCATTTGGTTGGATCTAACTAGAAATCATTGTTGTTCTAAGCACAGAATTTTGTTCATATACAAAATAAGTGAAAATGAATTACTAATTTTCAAAACATGTTTTTCATCTGCAAGGAATACAGTGATCCATAACTGCATATTAGAATTACTAACTGAAACTCCCGACTTTCATATTGTATACACAGCAAGAAAATGTGGATTTTAAGTAGCTGGTTAAGCGGTAGAAAGTTAAAAGCAAAGGCCCTTTCTAATATAAAGCATTAATTAGTCTTTAAACAATTGATTAAATAGAAAAAAAAAGGAATGACTAAAATTAATTAAAAAAAAAAAAAAAAACAAAAACGTTCAAAAAGCACATCCCTATATAAAGCCAAGGCACTAGTACCCCAGAAATATCTCCACTTTCAAAAGAAAGAACTGACCCAGGTAGCCTGGGAAAATTGTTCAAGTTCCATCCAGAATAGACATGTGGATCTATGTCCTTTGGTGTTGCAGAGCTTACTTTTGGAAAGCCACTGCCAAATTTCCCAGTTTCTAAATCAGCACCATAATGTACCTGAATTTGACGACAAATTAGACGCTCGTGTAGAAGGAAACAATAGACAAGAATTTAAAAGAAAATCCACTAGCTTACCTCAACTTCATCAGTAGGATTCTCAACAATCCGCCAATATTCCCCCTCAATTTCCTCTACAGAAGGTTGCCATCTCTTTCCAGTTTCACCTTTACAACATGATTCACTTGCCTTGGCATCTCTCATACCAAAATATTGTTCCTTGAAATCCTCAGCATATATCTGGAAGGACTTAAGAGTAAAATCTGAGCCAGATTGAAAGCCAAACTTTTCTTCCGTGTCTGAAGAACAATCAGTGGCTTCAATAGTGATGCAGTTGTTACGCCTACGGGTCATTCCAAATCTTAAGCGCTTTCTTCTCTTCCTCTTTCTTTGGCAACGGGACTTGGATCTTTTCCTCAGTGGTTCCCTATTTTGAAGCTTATCAACTTGTTGAACTCTAGATGAAAACTTTGAATGCTCCCATATATCCTTATCTTTAAGTGGGCAAGGCGGTTTCCAAGAAGGTGGTGGAACAATGCGACATATGCCATATTTTCCAGCTTTAGAGCTTATGCTAGCAATGTAGCCAAGTGTATCTTTAAACTCCTGAAAGAAACACAATATTACACATAAACTCAGAAAAACAAACGTGTCGTGTCCTATGGAGGATCTAAGTTAAGGAAATAATACTACACATACTTCCTCACTAGGGTAAAACACAGGAGCTTCATCCATAATAGGCCTACATGATTCCTTTGGACACCACCTAGCAGTTACCTGTTTTATATCCCCCGTTTTAAAGAATAGCAGAGAAAATGAACGAAAAAATCATAATATTAGCTTTTAAGAATATTAACCTCCTGAGACTCGGAAACAGTTGTGCTTCCTGGAATATTGTTGGCTTGTTGAGAATGTTTTGTTCGGCATGTCTGAAAACAAAGCCAAAATCATTATATGTATTTGGTAGTCAATAAATTTATGTACAGTGTGTAAGAAGCTCCACACTGCTTGTATTTAATTAATGGAAAATCCCATATCTGTGATTAAATGAAATTTGTTTTGTGGAGTAAAAACTATTCCTTGTAAGGTTCTGCAAACTTCAGGAATTTGTCATTCTGAAAGTTCATGCATCATTGTTTATCTATTTCAAGCACATTTGGTCATCATAATTTTGAAGTGCATGACATAACGAGAATTTGGCCATCCTGGTGCCAGCACTGTAATGTGTATGTTAAACGGACACAACACTTCAAGGGATGGAAAGAACTATTTCTTGTCAGAGTAATAAGCTTCCCTTGTAATATTTGTCAGTGCAAGCCATTTGTTTATGCAGAAGCGCCTACCAGGTCTAGTTTTTTATCCCAAAAAATAAATAACAATATATTATATATACATATATATATACATATATATATATATATAATAATAATAAAAAAAAAAAACAAGCATAAATGAAGGTACCAGGATTAACATGGCCCAGCAATAGCATGCATATATGCCATAAGGAAGAGAAATGCAGCGTAGGGTGTGTAAATTAGTGGTGAAAAAAACAATTTCCAAAACACATATACGCACAATCTCAGGGAAAAGAAAAGCCTTAAATCTCCTTAAGCAAACCAACAAAGAAAATGAATTAATACCTTGTAGAAAATGCAAAGAAAATATGAGGTAAAATAAACAGCGATCAAAACCAAGCTAGAATATTTCCACCTAGTTATAACACAAAGACAGCACCACAAGAACAAGCGAGTGAGATGAGCAACAGAAGGGCGAAGCCCATTCCTTAAAAATGACAGAATGTGTTCAATTTCTCTAAGCATATATTTAATATATAACCTTATGTGACCTCCACTGTTGCCCACCACATAAATGAACCACCACAGCCATAATAGTGCAAAACAAAAATATTTTAACTGCAATCAAGCATTTTCCACCAAGAACAAAGATATACCTTCACTGGTTTTGCATTATCCAATTCATCGTCTGAGCTATACTCAAACACACAATAATCAACTCCATTCTTCCTCCTCAACGAGCGCTTAACCCTATGAAGACTGTTATCACCACAATCACTATCCATTTGCCCTGGTGGACTCACAGTAGCTTCCCAAAAATGACCAGAGTTGACCGCAACGTCCTCCGGATCCTTCCTATAGCCGGAAGCCATATGATGCAAAAAAACGTCTAGAGTTGCAACAATTGAGTTTTTTGCAGTGCAGTTGGGGGCATATTTATATCTGCAAAAGAAATATTTATTGACTAACTTGAAGGCTGTCAAGTCTTCATATAAAGAAAGAAACAGAAGTGCATGTAATTTCAAGAAAAAGCTGTATACTTCATGTAGATGAGCTCACCTGGCATTTTAAATCTTGCAAAGAAAGAAGTGAACATTCAATTTGGTTAAAAGCTTATCAAAATTTAAAACAAGTTCAAACCAAGCAATTTAATGAAAACTAAAATCAAATCAAGCCAACAATATAGCAAGGCAAACCGGATGGTCTAGTTTTGTTTTGGGTGTAGAACATAAATCTTTAGAAGTTGGTTCGTTGGCTTTAATTTGATTCAGTTTGGTTAATTTTGCTTTTAAATATTTTCAATGATTTGGTATACTATAGTTTGATAGATTTGCTCTAAATTGAAGGGTAATTAACATATCTATGAGATTTTATAATAATATTAACAAGTTTTCTTTGGCAAGTTTGCTTTAAATCTAATCTTTATGTAATTTGGCTACAAGTTCAACTTCTAGCATTATAAATTATACATATTAGGCTTTCTCGGTTTGGTTTGCTTTAATTTGGTTTTAGAAAAAATCAAAACTAAACCGAAGCAAATAATTTAAGACAAAATGTTAAACCAAAATCAGTAATTAATTTACTCAGTTCGGTTTTCTTTATTGGACTTATATTTTATGCTCAATCAGTTAGGTTTAATTTGGTTTTATATAACTTAAAAACCAAATCAAACACTAACTATTATAAGCATGAATTGGCCATAGGACTGTTGAGCCTGAATAGAATAATGTAATATACTCAACTATGTATCATATAGCATAGTGAACAATTGAGAAGGATTCAAAGCTGCATACACATCGACAATGTTCTAAACCCAGCTTAATAAGAGAATACTATATTTGCCAATAAGATATAATTATATTTGCCTCAATCCATTTACAAACATGAATAGGAAATTGGGGTGCTTCAAATCCGCACATGAAAGTTGTTTTTCTCTAGCTTTCATCAACCATGGATTTTTCTCCACTTACAAACACTAGTGTGGCGGCATATATTTATTGTTTCTTATATCTAACCTATTTACTGCCAACTTCAAGCGTCTAAATCCTACAATGATTCTAAACAACAATTACAACAAAAGAATGCAATTTAATGTCTATGGCAGAAAACAGCAATTACTACAAAGTAATATTTCATTTTATGCATAGCTTAAGGCATCACAAACAAATAACCCTAAATCTGCAGGAACAATAGATAGATCTAACATAGTGCACGTACCCAAACCAGATCTACTTCAGCCAAGAAAAACATCTTGAAGTCTCACAAATAAGAAGAATTATCACAGCAAAAATACAATGTAAAGACCTAAAATTAACAAATAGAACCTCTTTGCTGCAACTTTACAGAAATAAAACCTTTCCATAATCAGAGCTCATTCTTGGATCAGAAATGACTACAAACCCGAGCAATGAAATCCTCCAGACCAAATCAACCAACATATATTAAAACCCGCCGGGCAATGAAATCCCATAAAAACCCCCCTCCAGACCAAATCAACCAACATATATTAAAACCCCTTCATCAAATCTATTAGAACCAGAACAATGCCATAATTAGGGCTTCAATATCCCAATTTCAAATCCAAAATTCGAATCATCTCAAATATTAAAGATCAAAAGATCCCCCCCCCCCCCA